TATCAGATGAGTGCCGTTTACTACTTCACCACAGGTGGCAATATATTTTCAATACACAATTGGTTCTGTGGATCCTTTTATCACCAGTTCAAGGAGAGTCAAGGAATACATGTACACACACTTTTCCCCACAATTGGGACACAAATGGTTTCTTCATTTGTTTGGCTGTCCAGGTCAAATCATACAAAAAATGGTGGGGGGAGCTACATTTCTCTGGATAAACTAGATATTACAATCATGGGGTCATCCAGATGTTGTTGAGGTGTAACTCCCAATGGTTCTTATTCCCAATGGGCTACAAATGCTAGGATTACAGTCCAATATCATCTCAATGGCTGCCTGATTTGCATCCGTTTTACAAATTTACAAACGAGACATTACATGCAAATCCGTTCCTCACTTGCCACTCTCTCTGCTTCCAAAATGCTCTTCATGAAGCTGCTTCTCCTCATTGCCCCAAAATTCTAGAAGTCTGTTTTTAGATTAGGAAAAAAGAAGGAGCTTGAAGGGGGAGTAGGGTTGAATTAAACCGGAAAAATGGCTGATGGTGAAATGAAAAATGAGCCTTGACCTGGTGTATCTATTACAGATAACATTGTGCATCAAGACTGTCTCTGATTTCTGAGCTTGTAGAAAGGAATGGTTACAACTAAAAAGGCTGGGCAAGTAACTAAATTATTTATTTTATTTTGACAAAGAAGATTTCAACTTGAGATACTAAAAACCAGAAAAATAACAAATCTTATCACCACTGTTGTTGGACTCCTGTGTGGGACATAGGAGCTGCCAATTCACAGCAAATGTTAGCCTATCTCAGGTACAAATAACATACCAATTAAAAAAAACAGTCGGCAGGAAGATTCCAGGATAGAGCTCCATTTAAAATGGGAACCCCAAAGTTTAAGTAGTTGGACAGTTCTTTTAAAGGCAGTTCCTTGGAATACAGCACAGAAACTTGTCTCTTTCTTACTTCTGGGACTAACTCTTCTTTGACTTCTTCCCCTCCTCTTCTTAGCTTTTTCTTTCATTCCATTGGCTCAAGGGGAGTCACCGTGTTTGTATGTATTGCAGTCCCCCACGCACGACTCCCTGGCCAAAACACAGCCAGCCCTTGATGACTCAAGCTTTCCGGGTGCCTCCCCTTCTTTTCAACCCTACACTGCACTTTCATTGCACATCTGGATCCAGTTGTGGCTTGCACATTAGGGGCACTTGGAGATGGCGGCCTCTAAAAGCTAGAGTAGCCAAAGATTTCAAACAAAAGAAGAAAGAGAGGGGGGAAATTTTAAAATCAAATAAATCAGAAAGGATTTGCTGCTGTTCTCAGACTCACTCATGAGAGCTTGCAAAAGCTTGGATGTAGAGCCCCCAAGATGCTTGGGGAGCCCCCAAGACAGCTTGGATGTAGAGCCCCCAAGATGGCATGCCCATGTAAATTGCTCAGCCATGGTGGAATCACTCAGAAAATGAGAGCTAACACACCCAGCAGAGTTTTCAGTGATGCAGAAAGCCAATGATCCTGTACCGTGTTCTTCCAGGGTATTAATGATCAACTGGATACTCAGAAATTCCTCTTTTGCAGCCCACTCTTCCTCTCCAATTAGTTCTTCTTTTGCTCTGACTGTTCTGCCTCAGTTTTTCCCACCCACCACACTTCCCTACTTCTGTACAGGGGTGTGGTTGAGATGGAAGATGTGCCCAGGGCAGAATTATAGTACATGAATTGATTTCTCCAGTATGCAAAGTGTCCATCTGATTGCTGGCAATGAGAACTGTGTACATTATTTATATGATGTATGGACTGATGTTCCACTTTGTATCCTTCCACTCCTCTATGGCAAAGGGCAGTATATTTCTTTTTTGGCAGACTCAATGGATGAATTCTGGACTCTCCAAGATGGCCAGCAAAACTCAGGACTAACCAACCATGCCAAACCATACCTCCAATACAGCTCCTGTTTCCAATGCCAAAAATAGAATGGTAAGGGGATAGGTAAGAAGTCTCGGTATACAGCTGGTGGGCTTAATTGCTTTTGGTTGATCATGCAAGTTGTCCATGCCTGAGTACACCTTACTCATTAGAACCCTGCCTTGCCATTAAAAATAAAAGCAGCATGTAAG